GGAATTTCTAGGGAAATTGATGGGAATCACCAGCAAATAAATAGTCATGAAGAGAAGCTGGATATAGATGGAAGTAGAAGGTCCTGCACTGCTTCTCTGCTGCTCTTTGAAGTGCTCCTGTGTGGCCTTTTTACTAAGCCTGAGATAGATAGATAGATAGATAGATAGATAGATAGATAGATAGATAGATAGATAGATAGACAGACAGATGAAAGATAAATACATGGATGATAGAGAGATACTTATATATTCACTTGATTCATGCCCACTCAACTGATGAAGCAAACACAAGTAAAATCTTCATCTTACACAGAGTGAGCTAAGATTCCAAGAAGCATCATCATCAACAACAAAACATTATTTGATCCCTCACCTGCTTGACGCTAGCCCCTGTGAATCGGCCACTGAACCTCCTCACATTCTGAGGGTCCCAGGACAGAGACTACAGTGTAAGACTAGATGGGCTCCGAAGTGTTTTCTGGACTCTGGGTATCAGCTGACGGAGCATTTTGCATTTTTAATATCACCATGATGATGTCATCCCAGAGACTCTAACTAGTATCTGAGATAGGGACCAATGTCTATACTTTTTCATTAACTACTACTAATTATTGATGAGTAAGAAAGGAGCTCACAGAACCTGGCAGATGGTTCATATGGTTATGCTTACTCTCCAAGCAGAAGTACCAGAGTTTCATGTCCAGCTCCCACGTGAAAAGTGCTGTGCTGAGAGCAGCTATAATCCCAAAGCTGAGGAGGGCAGGGGGTGGCGCAGAAATTGAAGAATTCCTGGGGCTTGCTGTCCAGCTAGCCTAGCCTACTTGGAAAGTTCCAGGTTCAGTTGAAGAGCCTGTCTCAAATTGAAAGGATACCCAATATCAACCTTGGTCTCCACAACTTGTGCACACACACAGGCACATTTACACATCTGCACACACACAGACACACACACAAAGAAAGGAACCCATGCCCCAGTGTAATAATCAAAGTTTATATGAAGCGTTCCAATGACAACAATAACAACATATTGAGAGTTACAAAGGGAGGCAAATAAAAGGGATTTCACCATGTGTAGAACAAAAATGTTGTTTTCTGAGTTCGATTCTCCAAGATACAGCAGAGGTCATCTGATATGCTGGCCACCATAATCATACTGGCACGCTTATTAAATCCCCACCTTGTAAGAAATCAATAAGAAATTAGAAGGCTCCAAGAAGGTTTCTAGGCAATCTGATGTGGGGATTTGGGAATTGTTCTCTTTGCTCTTTATTTTCCATTTTGAGTTCAGTTTGGGGAAAATCACATGGTTTAATCTAATGTACACTTCCCCTTGGCTTGAAATACCCCAAATGACTGAGTCCACTGGGTGCACATACCCAGAGCACACAACGATTAACACAAATGTTCAGATTTAGCGTTTGTTGTCTAAAAGGTAATTATTTTTGCTGAGACCCATAACAAATGAATGTTGCATGGTTATAGCTTAGAAAACACTCAGATTCACACTTTTGAACAAACTAACCTCCCAAAGCCTAATAGCTTTTTAGCAGTAAATTGCTAGAAATAGTAGTAAGCCCATTTCACAATTTAGAAAGTGAAGCTGAGCTTGCTCTCAAAGCAGAGCCTAGTGCCCCCCCACTGGAACATCCTTGCCAGGGCTGTTTTGGCTTCTTTATAAAGACATGATGATAGCTATGACCGATTGGTTAGCTCTGAGCTAAGAGGAGGTTAGAGTACATGCTGAAAAGAACATTCTCAAATGTCAGGAAACCTCTGGAAGGCACCTGATTTTCAAAGGCATCCTTTGTGACTGTGAAATTGTACTTTCTTCTTCATTATTCTCCAACAACAATGCCATCAACTGAGAGGTGAGGGGCACAGTGGCGATTCTGACAGGTCTCAACCTGCGTGGTTTTCAAGCTGCATGAGAGAAGCAGACCCATGTGTCAACAGCTAGCCAGGCATTCAGTGTCTGTTTTGAAGCTGTGGGTTCAGTGAAAAATTCACCTGGAGTTTCCACTTGCTTAATGAGAGAGAGAGAGAGAGAGAGAGAGAGAGAGAGAGAAAGCACACACACATTCACACCTGTCACAGAACTGAGAGCTCCCAACCCCCTAGAGCATGTGCGAGGTGCTCAGAGAAACCTGGGCATGATTCTGCCCAGCCAGATCAGCCCCAGGACTCATCACACATGAGGTGGACTTGGCTTCATTATATCCAGATGGCCTGGGGAGGGATGTTAATCTACAAAGGCCAAGAAAATGTCACAACCATTCTGCATCCATAAAATCAACTTACAGCCACTGCATGGATGAGAAGACCGTGAGATTCCTAGGAGCAGGCCCCATCTTGAACACTTAGCCTAGCATGCAACCTCTGCAAATGTATTATCCCAACTACGTGAGCCTCACTTTGCCCCTGCCGGCTTATAAAGCGTTGACTATACTAGCCGCTAGCTAAGGACTAAGGAAAAAGAAATGTAGCAAAGTTAGGTTCTCAACAGAATACATAGAAGCTAGCAGGAATCAGTAGAAGATGGTAGACTATTCACAGCCATAATCCTTGGGCTTTAATAATATACTTGAGAGTTTGGCATTCCAGAAGCACACACCCTGGCAAAGGGCAGCAGGGGATCAGTGGCATTGTGGCAGTGCACAACTGGGATTTTCCAATGAGAACAGCTTTATTTAGAGAATAGTCATCCAGGGTGGCTAGTCCTTAATTATCTTTAAACTCACCTATCAGTCATAGTTACACGCTATAGTTATGTTATATATAAGAAGCTTTCAGGCTGCGTAAGAGAAGCAGGCCCATGTGTCAACAGCCAGCCAGGCATTCTGTTTCAAGGATGTGGGTTGGCTGGAATATTCACCTGAAGTTCCCAGTTGCTTAAAAAAAAAATCACATCTGCAACAGAGCTGGGAGTGCCCAGCTCCTAAGAACATGTGTAAGGTTCTCAGAAACCTGGGTATGGTTCTGCCTAGCCAGATCAGCCCCAGGACTTGTGTGTGTGTGTGTGTGTGTGTGTGTGTGTGTGTGTGTGTGTGTATCAAGTGATGCTTTTCTAAACATACTTTACATTAGTTCTTTGCCAAAGAAATAAAATGTTGGATCAACAAGATGGTTCAGATGGTAAAGGTGATTTCCACCAAGCTTGATGACCCTAGTTTAATCCTTAGGACCCACATGTGGAAAGAGAAAACTGACTCCTGCAAGTTGTCCTCTGAAGGCATGCATGCACACATGCATGCGCACACACACACAACACACACACACACACACACACACACACAATGTAGTTTTTAAAAAGGAAAGTGTTAAAAGTACAAATGAAGTCATTCTTCACCCCTTATTTCTTTTCTTTCCTTCCCTCCACCTCCTCTGGGAGACGAAAATGTATCTTTATGATATAACTGCCTTCAGTTCTTTCATAAGTCTGATTATATGAATAATATGATTATATGAATAATATGTAATAAGAGTGTCTTATGACATACATGACCGCTATCTTACTCAATGAATTATTTTGTAAGTATGATGAGATTTATTTAGGTTGAAGAATATAGAGCCCATTAAGATATAATTGTATTATCTTCTGCTGTTTGATTCTACTACAATTTAAACATTCCTCTAGATATGGGAAGTTAGGTATATCTTACACTGTCAACTTTTAAAAATTATGCTACAATAAACCTTTGCTGTTAATCTCAGTTCTAGAATGTGTCCCTAATAGCATAATTACTGAGTAGGTAGTGTTTCTTTGTTATCAGTAGGTGTCCCTAAATTTTTTGTTGCAAAGGAATTGTGTTGTACCTGTGTGCATTAAAACCGACCTGTGGGTACAAATCCTTAAAAACATGTTAGCATTTTGGTTTCTTTTACGTGCTTGCCAGGCTACAATGGAAAGAATCTCAGAGGCAGCAATCCAAAGATTCTTGCTGTCCTGTAGGGAAAGCAGAGCCTCAGACTTGTGGCTGAGCCATATGGCTCATTTGGAACCACTTTCTACCTTGATATGTCAACATGTGGTATATTTATTTATAAGGACAAAAGACTTCTGGTAAGTGCCCTTTGTCAGGAAGTTCCAGGGACTGTGACAGAGAAGCCCAAGAACCACATTGCAGATGAAGTGTCCAATCCATGTCTCAGCACCTGTGGCCTTTGATTGGCTCCCAGCTGGTTGTCTCGCCTAGGACAGGGCTGGAGGGTCAGGAATACAGAGCTCAGGCTCAGGGCCCTGAGACCCCATCAGACTCTCAGCTCTATAAACAACCAGCATGACTGAGGCCCAGCAATTGTACTGACTCGCACAGGTGACATGCAGGTGTTTAGGGAAGACAGCTGCACCTCTATCTTATTGGCTCCTACCTATCTCCTCTGTAGAGGGCATTTCTCACTTCCAGATGTGAATTAGGAGGTGGGGTTTTGAGAAACTCTATTCTACCTGGCATGAAGGAACATGGCCTCAGCAAAGCTCTTCACCCCAGAACTCAGTATTCAGGGCATCACAGGCAACAATCACTGTGCTTTAGGGCCCTGACATCATGTGGGGAGGGAAGACACTCATCATTGCAAGACAAGCCTCTCTGACTTCTGCTGTTGGCCCGATTTTAAGAGATAATGGGCACTGAGGGTGTAGGGCACTGGTAGGTGACAACATCATGGTTCATTACTAATACACAACAGTCTCTGAGACCATGCCTAGGACATATTCCTTGCCTGTCTCATCCTCACATCTCCTCAAGCCTGACTTTCTGACAACTGTGCAAATGGAGTCCTTCCACCACCACCACCCAATAGGCAAGTGGTCCCCACTGCTGCTCTTCCTTTGTATCTGGCAGAGAAGTCATTACACACCTTTCCCAGACATGGCTGGAGGAGCTGAGAGCAAGGGACCCAAGCTGTATCCCCAGCCTTACAGGGCCATCATTAACAACAGTCTGTCATTAGTGGTGACCTGCGAGTGCCCTGGGTCATGACTAATCTGTTCTCACCTCCAGGTACCAGCAGTGCTGAAGTGAAGGAAAACCGAAATGTGAGCAACCTGGGGACTAGGCCCCTGCCCCCTGGAGACTGGGCCAGAGGCAGCACACCCAGCATTAAAAGGAAAAGGCCGCTGGAGGAAGGAAATGGGGGACATTTCTGCAAACTCCAGCTGATCTGGAAGAAGCTCTCCTGGTCTATGACCCCCAAGAACGCACTGGTCCAGCTGCATGAGCTGAAGCCGGGTCTGCAGTACCGGATGGTATCACAGACTGGCCCAGTGCACGCCCCTGTGTTCGCAGTGGCCGTAGAAGTGAATGGACTCACATTTGAAGGCACCGGGCCCACTAAGAAGAAGGCCAAGATGAGGGCAGCGGAGATGGCCCTGAAGTCCTTCGTGCAGTTTCCCAATGCATTCCAGGCCCACCTGGCCATGGGCAGTAGTTCCAGTCCGTGCACTGACTTCACGTCTGACCAGGCGGATTTCCCCGACACGTTGTTTAAGGAGTTCGAACCATCCTCAAGAAATGAGGACTTCCGGGGCTGTGGTCCCGTCGACACTGAGTTTCTGTCCTCTGCCTACCGGCGAGGACGACTACTCTACCACACACTGGACCTCATGGGTCAGGCTCTGCCTGACAGGTCCAGGCTGGCTCCTGGGGCCCTGGGTGAGAAGAACCCTGTAGTGGTGCTGAATGAGTTACGCTCAGGTCTGAGGTATGTGTGCCTCTCTGAGACAGCCGAGAAGCCCCGAGTCAAGAGCTTTGTCATGGCTGTGTGCGTGGACGGGAGGACGTTCGAAGGCTCTGGACGCAGCAAGAAGCTGGCCAAGGGCCAGGCAGCACAAGCTGCCTTGCAGGCCCTCTTCGACATCCGGCTGCCGGGTCACACACCCAGCAGGAGTAAAAGCAACCTCTTGCCACAGGTGAGACTTCTCAGTAGCTGCCTGGTAGGTGGAAAGATGGATGTGAGTTAAGATATTCTTGCTGTGATGGGGGAATGGGTCAGGCCCTCTCCCCCCAGCGTCTGGGAGCAGAGTGTGGCGAAGCGCTAGCCTACCTGAAAAGGCCCCTTTCCTAAGCACACAGAGAGCTATTGCCAGGCTTTGTGGATAGAGCATCACGGGAATATTAAGAAATCAAAGAGATCATCAATACAGCAACTGAGCATAAGCAATGAGAGAATTAATGAAGCCAGGCAACTTTCGCAATGATGCAGTCAACCACTAGGGAGGAAAGACAACCAGGGTCACAAAAAGTGGAGAGAGCAGAGGGCAGGGTCTTCTGTCCCCAGCAAGAGGCCCAGACTATAGGAAAGGCAGGATTTATTAGCCGGGCCCTCCGGTAACTTAGAAAACGAAGAACCAAGAAGTAATAGGTGTGTTGGTTGGTGGTCTGAGCTGAGTTACTCTGGGCAAACCAAGATGGAAAACTGTCTCAGTGGGAGTGGCCGGGACCTCTATAAGTATGGTTTCCAACCAAGTGGAAATTTCTGCAGTAAGACACTAACACGATCATGTGGGGGGAAAACAAAAACAACAACAAAACCCTGCTAGGAGGCAGAGGTTAGAAATGAGACGTAGGGCACTGCAGATGAAATTTGGTTGGTCTAGTGCTTACGCAGCATGCATGAAGAGGCCATGGGTTTGTTCCCTAGCACAGCATGGACCAGGAACAGTGGTACGTGTCTATAATCCCAGCACTGGGGATGTAGAAGCAAGAGGATAAGGAGTTCAAGGTTATCTTCAGCTACATAGTAAGTTCGAGGTCAGCCTGGCATCAATGAGAAAAAGAAGGAAGGAAGGAAGGAAGGAAGGAAGGAAGGAAGGAAGGAAGGAA